CTCCTCCCAGCAGCAATTCGTGGGGTGCAGGGTGGGAAGGGCGGTGCAGAGCTGCTCCAGCAGCACCTCGGCCTCTTTGGTTGGTGAAAGAATGGGGGCGGGGGGCAGGGAGGGCAGGGGTGCAGCACTGCCCCAAACCCCCAAACCCCCATTGTCATGGGAACAACAGCAGCGAAGAACAAAGGGGCTCTGAGTGGTGCTGGGGATGCACACATTGCCATGGTGTGCCATAGGGTGCCATGGGGTACTGTGGGGCACCATGGGGTGCCATAGGGTGCCATGGGGTTCTATGGGGTACCATAAGGTGCCACAGGGTACCAGAGAGTGCCATAGGGTACTATGGGGTGTCACAGGGTACCATAGGGTGCCATGGGGCTCTATGGGGTACCATAAGGTGCCATAGGGTACCATAGGGTGCCATGGGGTTCTATGGGGTACCATAAGGTGCCATAGGGTACCATGGGGTTCTATGGGGTTCTGTGGGGACCAGAGGGTGCCATAGGGTACCATGGGGTTCTATGGGGTACCATAGGGTGCCATAGGGTACCAGGGGGTGCCATAGGGTACTATGGGGTGCCATGGGGTGCTGCAGCCCAGGAGGGCACCGCGCTCAGCGCCGGGCTGACCACCACCACCACCATTGCACCTTCCTCTCCTCCTCCTCCTCCTCCTCCTCCTGCTGCCACCACACGAGCGCAGCAGAGCCGTGGAGCTGCCACTTCTGCGAGCTCTGAGCTGACCTTGCAAGGAAGGAAAAACAAAAACAAAAACAAAAACAAAGCCATCACAACCCCCAGGTGTTACCGCTGCGCCAACCACTCACTGACAGCATCATTAAACACATGCTCGTTTATGAAAACAACCACCCTGGCACGGTCCAAGCATATACAGACAAATCTACTCTACGACACGAGGGGCTGCCGAGGGAAAGGGGGAAAAGCCTCTAATTGAGCATCCGCTGGGCACAGCCATGGGGGAGGGGGGGGGGGGAAGCCCCCTGCT